GAGAGAGAGAGAGAGAGAGAGAGAGAGAGAGAGAGAGAGAGAGAGAGAGAGAGAGAGTCTGCCCCTTATTGCTTCCTCATACTTCGGTTGATCCTGCATGTTGTTGGAGTCTGCCATGATAGGCATGAAGTGTGCGATTTAGCCAAGGTGGAAATCTCAACCACGAATTCAGTACCACCTTCGATTAACCCCCAACAAGCCTTCAACGAATCTACACTGAGCTTCTCCCTCCTTCCAACAGCTCAAGAACCTAGGTATGGCTCACAACTCTGACAGCGCCCCAATCCCCAAGTGCCTGTGAGCTGATGGGGCTGATATGACGGAGGTCAGATGCCTACTCAGCAGCTATGTTGCACGCTGGCCGCGGCCGAGTTCGGCCCAGGCCGCGGCCGGCGGCCTAGGCCGAGACCCCCCCGACCGCGGCCGGCCCGACCGAGTTTTTTCGGCCTCGGTGTCGGCCGATCTAGGGGGCCGTCTTCGAAGCTGGGAGCGGGTTTGGGGTGGGGGGGTGGGGGGGCACCCCCTCAAAGTGACAGGGAGTCAAAAAAAAAAAACCGGGGGGGCCCTGCACAAGACCCTGGAAGGGTGRCCCGCGAAAAATCCAGCGGCCCCAGTGTGCAGGTTCGTCGATGCGGGGTCGCAGGGAGGAGGGTCTGGAACAGTGGAAAAAAAAAATAAAAAAAAATTGACCCCTGCGGGGGCGGCCCAACGTGGGTTGGATGAGGGCCTGGTTAAGGCGGGCCGTGTGGCCATACCGGGTCGAAGCTAGACGGGGCTGCAGATGGCAGACCCCAGGTTGGGCCTGGTTGGGGCGGGCCTCACGCACTGAAAGGTAGGCGTCGGTTTCATTAATGAGGGCGATGACAGTTCGTGGCTTATTTGAAAACAACACATTCATGGCAAATTTGGCAATCATAAGTCGGACCCTGTTTGGCATACCAATGTCAAAACACATTGAAAATGAATCACAGTGCGACGAACCACAAGTTTCAAACAATGATAACAGGCAAGTGTGTCATAGTGTGTGTTCACTCAGGAGACTGATGGACATTCATTAGCACATCATTTATGTAAGAACACATTCATTAGCACGTCATCTCTATGTCGCATCTGAAATTAACTGCACCTTCATAATGGAGGCATCCATGACATGCACGTGCGTGGCATCGGAGAAGCACATAATTTGCAACAATCACGACAACAGAGCAGAAAACAATCACCAAACAACAGCGACTCAGATGCAAGACCAATGTTGGTGGAGGAACAAGAACAATAGCAAATATATGACAAAGCATTTCAATGGAAATGCGTATGTACAAGGCTGAAGCCAAAAACTGGACCCGTAGTCTCTACTGTACAACCGAGTAGCAAAAAAAAACTGGACCCATCGTCTTTGCTACACAACAGAGTAGCAAAAAAAAACTGGACCCGTCGACGGGCGTCGTCTCTACTGTACAACCGAGTAGGGAAAAAAAAATGAAAACCCTAATATCCACATCGTCTCTAATGAAAACTGAGTACGAAAAAAAAATAAATGAAAACCCTAATGTACAACCGAGTAGGAAAAAAAAATTGGACCCATCGTCTCTGCTACACAATAGAGTAGAAAAAAAAAACTGGACCCGTCGACGGGCGTCGTCTCTACTGTACAACCGAGTACCAAAAAACACCGCGGACGTCGTCATCTCCCACCAGAGCGCACGCGGCCTCTCCCGGAGGACGTGCGGTCATGCGGTCCTCCCCGGCGCCCTCCTCTCCCTCCAGCACCTGTGCCCTGTGCCCCGCTGACGTATGCCGCATGTGCCGCAGCGGCCGCCGCGGCCACCTGTGCCCTGTGTCTGCGTGCCGCAGTCTCGATCGGTTCGGACTCAGTGTTTGCGTCCTCGTCCTCCTCCGCCTGTGCAGCAATCCCCCTCTCTCTCCCTCTGAATCGCGTCCAATGCTGCCTGCCCAGCGGCGACCCCTGCAGCGAGTCGAGCCTCAACCTCCGAGAGGCCATGCTGTCGTTTGTCCCGGGACGCATCGACAACCCCTCCTCGCCCGATGTGAATTGCTCTCCCCGCAGCCTGTCCGTGGATGTCCCTGCGGCCTCGAGGACCAATGTCCTCCTCGTCTCCGCTCGTGACAAACCAAGCATGCGGCCTTCCATCTGCAGGCTCGGACGTCCGGACCCACCCTCCGCAGCCTGCGTCTGAACAGGCGTACGTCCCGTGAAGACGCCCCTCCCGGCGTCGTAATCCGCCCGCAACCGGTCCCCGACCCAACGAACAGCTGACCATCCGCCACCCACACCTCCTCAGACTGGCGGCGGGGAACTGCCACTGTGCGCAACTTCGGGTGCCACCGTCCAGTCCTCGGTGTCGACCCTGGCCTTCGGAGTCCGTGCGGGCGGTGGAGGCATCGATCCTGCACTATCTCTGCCGCCGTCGCTGCGTCTGCCGGACCCCACCTCACCCGCACCGGACTCCCTCCCTCTAACGTCGCTGAGCGACGAACCCGACCAGTGAGGGCTCTGCACTGTGAACGGCGGCGGTGAATACACCCTCCCAGGGGCCTGCTGCTTGCCGCTCTTGCGGCTCACGTGTGCGAAAGGGTCATCCGTCAATGCATGCGCCAAAGCGTCGGCATCGAAGAAAGTGTGCGCTGTGTCGGCACGGCGCAACGGAGGCAATGTGGGATCCCTCAACACCAAGGCGAGCCTATACGGATCGTCCTCGGGACTGTGGTCGTCGTCATCGTCGCCGTCCGGTCCATCGTCTCCACCGACACCCGCGGTGTCCCCATCTCCACCGGGTCCACCCTCTCCTCCGCCGCACACTGCGGCACCCTATCCCTCATCACCCGCGGTCTCGCTGTCGCCACGGTCCCCACTAGGGGACCCACCGCCCATGACAACATCCTGCCCCTCAGGGACACCCGCGGTCTCCTCGTCGCCGCGTCGTCCACCAACTGACCCACCACCCGCGGCGGCATCCTGCCCCTCATAATCGAACTGCCCCTGAACCGCCTCCTCAGGGACACCCGAGTCGTTGACGTCACGGCTCCCCCCCTCCTCGTGTCTCCAAGTCCCTCTGCCGACGCTGCTCGTCGAGATACGTGAACCGACCCTCCCACTGTGGCAAACTCCTCAGCCGCTCCTCCTCCTCTCGGTCCAAACGGGCATCCCTCTCCTTCTCAGTCTCAACAGGGCCCCGCTCAACGTCCGCGTCTGTGCACACATCCTGCAGTGAGGCACGTCGACGTCCCTCGACACTCAAATCTCCCAAGCTCCCACCAAGCCCTATGTCCTCGAAGTCCTGTGTGCGGAGCACCGACGGCGAGCGGGGGCGGATACTGGCGTCGGAAGGAGTCCTCTCCCCCCCACGATCCTCGCCGTCATGTGTCCGGTCTCTGCCCGCTGCCGACGCCAACCTCTCCGAACGCCTAAGTGCCTCGGGCTGTGCAGAGATCGGATGATGGGAGGGAGAGAAGCGACGATCGTGAAGGGGCACCTCCTCATCCTCGGCCTCCCCCTCGGCCTCGCTGTCGCTCCTAACCTCCCAACGCCTGCTTGTGTGCCGAAGACCTCCCCGTGGCTGCTGCTCCCCCGAGTCGTCCATGCGAACCTCCGCATGCGAACGTCCTCCAACACCACTGCCGGCTCTGCTTCTGCCACTCGCCTGCGCGGTCGACGACACACCACCAGTGATAACCGATGTGTGTGAATCCATGTCGTCACGACCCCCACCGTAAGTGAAGTACACTCGCTCAGCCGTCGGGTCGCGACTCAGCGGCGTGTCATCATCGTCAGTCCAGTCGTCGTCGATGTCGTCCCCTGCCGCAGCAGCGTCCACATCATCCCCACCCTCCGGCCACAGTCGCAGCTCCGTCGCTCTGCTGCCGAACACGTCCCGAACTGAACGGGCTCTGGACGGTCGGCTGTCACGGAAAGCGACAATCTGCCGCTGGATCTCCTGCTCGAGAACACTGCCATCAGGTCGCGCTCCCCACACCTCGGGCTCCACATCTCCCTCCTCATCCTTCTCCTCTGCCGCCGTCCCCCCCCGACCGGTCCCCATAACCCATGGCAACACGTAGCCACCACCCTGCCGTGCGCACGAGGCCAGTTTGAGAATGGTGGCAATCTCAACCAGCTGTGCAAGCTTGGATTCAAGCTTGGCGAATCCAAGCTTGCAGCGCCTCGCCGTGTTGACGCGCTCGTGCTCCGCCCAGTTCCTCTCCGCTGGAGAGGCAGACGTCCACAAGTGCCTGACACGGATGGCGATGGTGCGCAACTCCGGGTGGGCACGTCCATGCTCGAACCACCACGCTGCACATTGCTCGGTCTCACTGTCCCCCCTGCAATCGGCCGCCTCGGCATCGGAGAGGTCACGATCTCCCCAATCCCCTCGCCTCGAGTGGATCGCCCTCATCTGGTCCCTCACGGTCCTGTACAATAAGCCGACCAGATCGCCGCCGGTCTGCGCCAGGAGAAATCTGTCGCACTCCTCGACCACACGACGGTCGTCGGCGGTCGTCTCCAGCAAATGGTAATACGTGAGGGACCGTCGACGAGGGTTGAGGAGGTGGGCCGCGGCATGTGCGGGCTCTAGCATGTGGAGGTTGCGGATGGCAACCTCACGCACGCACGGCTCGATCATGTACGTCGGCACGTCGACCCTGCTCATCAACTGCAACAGATGCTGACTCCACTCGTAAACGACGGACATCATCATCCCACCTTTATTCATCTTGCGCAGCAGCTGGTGGACGGGCGACATGACTAGGATGGCGTAATGGACACGCTGCCAAAACTCCCTGTCCCGGATCTGCTGCTGCACCCACTGCGCCTGAGATACGTGGGCGCGATCCCACGGGATGCGTGCCCAAGCATCCCCGTGCAACATGCTCTCCAACGCGTCTCGTCGGCCTTTGAGACACGTCAGCATCAGGAAAACCGATGCAAACCGTGTCTCAACGGGCTCGACGAGTTGAACGCACCTTCCTAAAAAGGGTGTGAGCAGCGCCGTGCGATTTAATAAATCGCACAAGCGCTCGAGCGCGGATGATGGTCTCCTTGACCCACACCACTCGCGTCCCGATATCTAACAACATCAAGTTGTAGACATGGGTGGAGCAGGGAAGCCAAGTGATCCTCCTGATCTCAGGCTCGGGGTCTGTGGCGAACCTGCGCGCTGCCGCCGTATAGTTACTGGCGGAGTCTGTGCAGAAGCCGATCACGTCCTTTGCAGGAAAGGACAAGATGATGGCCTGCCACCTACGGTACACGACGTCCGCTGTGTCTCGGACCGACCCGTCACGTGCGACGGTGGCGTACAGCAGGGCGCCGTTGGCGCCCCCGACGAGGAAGTTCACGAGCGACTTCCTCCCGTCAGAAAGGATAGTGGCACCGCTGTGCCGGAAAGTGGCGCGCACCTCGCTCACCATCGTCGCCACCTTCGCCCTCTGCGAAGGGATACCGGCGCCCGCTGTAACCCTGTAGGAGGGAAACCGGAATTGGATAGAGCGAGGCACTCTCTCTGCTGCCTGCTGCACCCTCTGGAACTCCGGACCACGGAAGGCGTTGAATGGCAACTTCTTCACGTAGATCCACTGAAGCCACGCGTCTGTGAACTCGGCCAACTTCTCCATGGCATACATCTCGTCAATCGTGGTCTGCTGAGCCCTCTTCTCCCTGCTCGTGTCTGGCACCTCGACGCCAGCCTGCCCCACTGTCCTCTTCTCCCTCCTCGCGCGCTCCACCTCAGCTCGCGACGCCCTAGTAGCAGGACCTGCTCCACCGACGCCTCTCGACGTCATCACCACCTCCTCCCCTGGCAGGTTAGGCTCTCCGACTGCCTCGTCTGCCTCGTCTGCCTCGTCTGCCTCGTCTGCAATTGCCCCCTCCCTGGCCCCACCCTCGCGGCCCTCCTCCTCATCGAGGGCGTCCTGAATGTCGTCCCTTTCTGCGTCGTCCATCTGCTGTCTCTGGCCACCCGCGGGTGCTCTCGTGTCCCGTATGCCCTCGTCTGCCATCCACCTCTGCACCCGATGAGCAGTGGACGGCACAAATGTGTAGTCCGTGCCGTTCCAGAGTTCCGCGAGAACTCTCATCCCCCCAGCCTTGCAGAACTTCGACTGCGTAAAATGACGCGCGGCCTTCGACGACCCCCTGAAACAGGTGGCCGCATAAGTTGCAACGCAACTTTCGGTCCCCGTGCATCTTGGACTGGTCCCCGACGTATTGGCCTGCGGTGACGAAGTTCCAAACAATGTTCCCTCGCCTCAACTTCGCCATCTCCTTCTCGGACAGCGGGTTGAATTGGGCACCCCCAGACCCCCCCGCACCGCTGCTCCCTGCACCCCCCGTCATCGCCCCCCCACCAGGATCCAACAAGTCGTGGCCTTGATCTTGGATATCATCTGACCGTGCCGCACCGTCGATGTTGCGTCCCCTCGATGTCGCTGCACCCAGACGTCCCCGCCGCTCCTGCCGCCGTGTCCCCTTGATGTCGCGCCAGGCCACGGTCCAGTAGCACCCCGGCCGGCCGCCCAGCGCCGCGCAACCGAGGCCGGTAGCTCCGCCCGGCCGCCGTCGGCCGCGTTCGGTTGTGCCCGGCCGTGTTCGGCTGAGTTCGGCCGCGGCCGGGCACTAAAAGCGCGGCGCGCTTCTGGAAGACACGCGCGGCGATGGCGACGGCCGTGCGGCGGCCGCTGGGCAGCGCGAGACTGCTGTCCCGCGCTCCTCGCGAGGCGCGCGCCGCTGCAGGGTGTGCAGTAGGAGGAAGCAGAAGAAGAAGAACAAGAAGATCTCTCTCTCTCTCTCAAGAGTCTCTCTCTCTCTCTCTCTCAAGAGTCTCTCTCTCTCTCTCTCTCTGTCAAGAGTCTCTCTCTCTCTCTCTCTCTCTCTCTCTCAATAGTGGTGAGCAGGCATCTTGGCAGCATAACGGCAACAGCAACAACTGTTGCCGTTTCAGATAAATGGCAGCATTTATCTGAAACGGCAACATTTTTGCCGTGGCCTGGGCCTGGACCCACCGCCCTCCCCACACTGCCCACTGCCCACACGGTGCCTCTCACTCGCTGGCACCGAAACAGGGCCAAAATGGCCCGCCGGGCCTTTTTTTTTTTTTTTTTTTTTTTCTGTTTTTTTTTTCTGCGTTGCGCTGAACATCAGACACCCAAAAAAAAAAAATGGGTGTGTAGGGCTTGTCAAGCCCTACACGCCCATATATATATATTTTTTTTACACGTAAAAAATGGGAAAAACAAATAATGCACCAAACTCGGCAGGTCGGCCTAGGCCGAACCGGGCCGATTCGGTCATCGGCCTAGGCCGCGGCCGACTCGGACCCCCCGGCCGCGGCCGGGCGTGCAACATAGCTCAGCAGCACTGGTAACTGCCGTGAAGAAGAAGATGAACTTTGATTGAGAAGAAGATGGCTGCCTCCGATATGGCAGCAACTGACCAGCAACCGCAAGCTACTTCCCTGAATAAGAGCCGGCTACTTCCAAACCCATGAACAGCAGCGTGATGGTAGTGGCATCAGTGCCTGGAAGAACTCCTACAGGCGCTGCCTCCTCAAGCAGCAGGGCGGCCCAGCTATGGCTGCGCAGGTTCCCCGAAGAGGAAGAAGACTGAGCGCTGGAAATAGCGCTGCTCACTTAACTCCCGTCGCCACTTCCAAAAAAAAACGAAAAGAGAACCTGAAGCCCATCGGGCCCAGCCTACTTCAACCCGACTCCCTAGCCCTAGAACACAGCCACTGCCTACTGACTTATCTGACCGTCCAAACAGCACACATCTACGGTCGATCTGCCTACATGCGTCTAGACAGGATCACAGACCAAGGGAACCCAAAGCTAGCACACATAAAGAAAGATCTACGGGCCTAATGTTTCTAGAAGGCAGAAACGACAAAACAACCTGGCCTAATGGTCTAGGCATGACAAAAGAGGGGTTCCAGCAAGTGACAGGTCTCGGGATCAAGCCCCGGACTCAAAACCCAGAAAAACGTCCAAGTAAAGTACAGCCTGCACAGTGACACTCCAATTCATTGCAATTGTATTTATATGTTGGGGAATAGATAATGGAATGTGGCTGTTGAATAGGGATCGTAAGTGTAGGGAATGAACTCAGTCTCATGTTCTGATGGAGTTGAAGACATGTTTGTCCATGTTTGTCCCTGTGTGCTTTAATGGATACTAATGGGTGTCATGATGTGTGAACCAATGCAGGCAGAGCTGAGGGCAAATATATTCGAGGTGATTGAGGAGAATGATCAAGACAGTGGTGGTGGCGACAACGGCGTAGTCAGTGAGGCAATGACTGGATGCAACCAGCAGGCAAGGGCGTTGCACTCCAGTACTCTTGGTAAATCCTCCACATCGCCAGAATACTCAACATGTGCTGCTTTCTGGTTAATGTAGATTAATCCAGGGAGAGTTGTGAATCAAAGACTTCCGGGCAGTTGCTGTGAATTCAGGTGCTCTGGAAGGGCAGTGTACCTGTGATAAGGTGTTGAACCAAACGGCTGAATCATGGTAAAGATCATCATAACCGATAGTGAGAACTTGAGCGGTCTTGCTGAGCATGCTCCAAAGAACAGCTGGGATTATGAATTTCAAGGGCACTTATCCTTTGGTTGGCTGTCCGATACTGATACCTCACAATTCTAACCTCTAAACGATGACATGCCCATGAATGAACGTGGAAAGAACCATTGGTAAATGTTCGGGGAAAATTGCTTCACTGTGGCTGCGCCCTGTCTCTTCTAGTTCCAACGTTGTATCTAATGCAGCTCCGTCCTGAACACTCACGAAACTTGATGGCCAGAGACACTATATAGAGTCTCGAGGTTCCAGACTTTGCACAAAGCAGAAGACCCAAATACCAGAAATTCTCAAACGCTTCGGCTTGGGGTTTGATTACCACTGCCCCAATACCCCCCCCCTCAGCTCGGTGTCCTCAGAGAACATGACCTGCATCCACTGAGGAGAGTCAAAATGTGAACTTCGAGAAAGAAACTCAGAAATTCTCAGGCACAATCGGAACAAACAGTGAAGCTTATATTACAGTATGCACAGAATTTAGAATCTGGGACAAGGATCTGGAGAACTGTGATCAGTCTTTGAGGCTCTATTTGCAGACTTGCTTTCCATAGTTAGGTGTTACATCTTCGACGCCACACGGGTCCTACGGACCCGACTTAGGACTAGAGGGACACACCAGGGCCCAAAGGCCCGACCTTGGGGATACTTCAGGCCTTAAAGGCCTCACCTTGGACCAGACCCGACGGGCAGGCCCAAACGACATTACCGTTTGGGCCTGGCGGCGCTCTTGAGGCTGCCGCCCGCCGGTTGGGGCTGAACCGTCCATCTGGACGGTTCAGGGCACGGCCAGGCCTCGCAGCATTGAGGCCGGCCTCTGCCCACCAGTACAAAGGTACCGGTCCAGCCTCAGTCGGGGATCGACCTACCGGCATTGTACCGGTACGGTATGGTACAGCGCAAATTAGCGCTGGCGCTAGCTTTAGCGCAGGAGCAGCGAGGAGCAGCGCAGCGCAGCGCAGCAGCAGCGASCGAGGACAGCAGCAGCGGCACGGCGGCCATCGCCGCCTCAGCAGCAGCAGCTGCAGGTACCAGGAGGCGGGGATCTATTCCTCCCTCCTCGGTCCCTTTCCCTCCTCCTCACCTTCGTCTCTCCCTCTCTCTCTCTCTCTCTCTCTCTCTCTCTCTTCTTCTTCTTCTTCTTCTTCTCTTCAGATTGGAGACCTATACTAGTTGGACAGAGATCAGAGTTGGACTTCGGTGATATGAGACTGTGGTACTTACCAGATTGGAGACTTGGAGATCGTTGGGGTTGATACTTGGCGACATCACAGTTCAGACACCGGTTACATTTGGACTCTGTACCTCCGACATTGGTGACCTATTGTCCTCGACATTTTGACCTCGTTGGATGACATTTTGGACTACCATATCGGTGACCTATCAGATTCTATCTCGGTGACTTTCAGTGCTGTCTACCTGCCCCACCTCCTTCGTCTCTCCTCCCCCGTTCATCTGTGTATGTTGTGTACGGGGCTGAGCACCTTCTTTGTATGGCTCAGACCCCACCATCTCACGATTGTATGTGTGTGGAGTGATGCTATGTGAGTCAGTCTATGTGAGTCAGTTCGTTTATCAGACTTCCGCTGCATACATGCTCATCCTATATTGGTTGATCTTTGGTTCTGCCCATACTCATCGAAGTATGCAACATTAGGTCAGTCCACTTCTCTTCCTCATGGTCCCTGTGTAGATGATGTATGGTCTTCCCCGCTGTTGCTGTACTTGTCTTTGAGCAATGATCCTGTCAATGTCCACATACCCATCCATTGTTGGAGGATGTAATTTCCTTCTGCGTGCAAGTCTGGATGGCGTAAAGGGAATCAACTTTGATGTGTGGAATATCAACAGGTCGTCAAGCGAGGAAGAATGTTCACCAGGTATGAGGGTCTATTAAGGTCTTCACACACGGTCTGCACCATTCTGTCAGCAGTTTTTGGAGACGCTGCATCAAACTGGTCCGTGCTTCGCCACCTACTTGAACACAGAAGGATGGCGGTGCTTCTTGGCTTCATCTACGATGGTCGGTTGTGCTTTCTGCATACCCTGGATTGTTTGGAGGAGTTCCACAGTGATGTGTAGAATTGTTGTAGGCACTTCTGGTTCAAGTCAACCTGACCCGACCGGATTGGATGCCGCAAAACTTCTTGTACAGTCCTGTTGAGGGAAAGGATTTCACGTATTTCAGCATCCCGTGTCAGTTCTGCTACGGGGGTTTGGAAATCCCATGTGCCATTATACCAGTCCTGGAGGTAGGGTATCTATGTCTAGGCTGTAGACCTGGTAGGTCAGGTACGCCCAGTCCATCCGTCAGTCCAGTCCGGTCAGCAGCTAAGTCCCATGAAAGTCAGTGAACACTCCGTATCTGTTGAAGGCTGACTGCGGCCCGCACGTGAGGTTACCGGTCCTGAAAGTCTGAGACTGGGAACGGTAGCAAAGCAATGACATCTTCCCCATTCACACTGGCTGCAGAAGCGCTGCCTTGTGCGACCAAGTATCAAGTGACGCTGCAAGTGTGCAGTCTAGTAGGAGTCGTCGGCAGTGCTGGGTGCCATAGCTGTACATGAGAGAGAGTGGCAGTGAGGAAGACATTTGGAGAGGGAGAAACGCTAGAGGGTAGAGAGAGGGAGAGTTGTTGATTGTGGCCATAGCTGCCAGAATATCTACATGCAACCTGTTGTAACCGTCCAAACAAATTTTGAAGTTCTCATACCTTGTATTGCTTTTCATCTCGTGTGAGCTTTCATGCGCCGATGTGTGTCATGGGTGTGAAGTCAAATGCTGTTGGAGTTGTAGGCTCATTCCAAACTGAGCAGCCTCTCACACTCTTCCAGCTCGCCGTTGTTGATTTTTGAGCGAACGGATTGCAAGGAGTGCTGGCGCCGTGCAGGATCAAGGCCGGGGGTCAGAGCAGTCGGCGACAAGTAGGGTTGACGATGAAGAAGACTTGGAGGGCGAGGAGAACTGACCGAGGAAGAAGAGGTCAGGCGGAGGGAGAGCTACTCACCTGGCAATTTGCATAAAGGGAGTGGAGCGGCAAGCAATCGAGGAGCTTCATCAAGCAAATTTTTTTAGTGAAGTGCTCTTGGTAGCCCTAGCCTTGCATGCGTTGTGTGTTGTGTCTTTGATGTTGGATTTTTTTTTGCTGGTCTATCCTTGGTGATTCTGGGCTGCTGGTTGCCGTGTCTAGGTCTAAGTCACTTCTCACATAGTTGTGGGGCTTGTGGGCTGGCCATGACATCTTGTTTGTGCAGTCAAATGATTCCTGATTTGCACTTTGCCCCTCCAGCTTGGTTCTTGTTGTAGATAGATAGGTGGACTTCTCACAAGCGATCTGAAGCTGCAGTAGCTGCAGTGGCCACAGCGGGGGGTTGACAAGTGTCAAGGTTCTCATGAATCGGTCGAGTATCATCTGGTTGGCCATGTCGTCCTGTCTGTGACCTTGAAGAATTCCTGACCAACGTATGGCTCGTCCTTTTGGCGAATGGCCAGTGTGGATGATCCTGTAGTTTGCTTAACTCCGTTAGGTGGAAGAAGAGTAAGTTCAAGGCCAAAGTCAATGCTCGTAGGTCAAAAGAGGTCGAGTCTATGTTGTTGGAGTTAGTGGAACAGGGTCAAATTTTGACTGATTGTTGTACAGCGAATTACCATGGATGACTACCTCACGTTTTCCTTCCTTATCCTCTTTGTTGTCTGGTAACCGTTGTTTAAAAAAATAAATAAAGAATTACTATTATTTTAAACACAAGATACACTGCCGCTTCTATTTTTGGGGGCGACAGCCCGGTAGCTCATCAGACAGAAGGTTCCAAGCGAAAAGCAGGAAAGATAAGCGCAGCAACGGGGGGTATCAGGACTGGCTGGCATTGGCCCTGCATGTGCCGGGGGCAGGGGCTATCCATTCTTAGGATCCGCACTCCTAGACGGGAGGGTCACCGGGATCATGCACCGTGCCATTCCCCTCCCTTCGGGGGATGGGGGACTTGCTGAGTGTGGCACCCATCCCGTCCTCCCCCCCCAATGAAAAATTCTCCACAAATTTTGCAATGTCCCGATGCATCCCCCCTCTTGTTAGGCCTTTCACAGCACAACCGCATCAGGGTGATGAGAATCTGAGATGGGAAACAGTTAGCCAGCCAGGGTATGATGACCATGAAGAAGAGAAGAAGGAGAAGGGAGGCGAAAGGAGGAGGAGAGGAAGAAGAAGGAAAATCATCCTAGAGAAGGGACAAGTAGGGAGACAAAGGGGGAGGAGGCCCTGATCGACCAATTGAGCCAGATCTTTTTTGGGCCCCTGTAGTAGTACTCTACACCCCGATGTGCTAGAGCAACATGAGGCCAACGTAGCTAAAGACAGCATTAAGGGCAATGAGAAGATTGAGAACGTGACGAGTTGGAGAAAGCGGATGAGTTGGAGAAACAGAAGATACTGACTGATGTGAAGGCCATGCATGCCAACCTGTGGAAGTAGGTAGAAGAGAAGAAAGTGACCCTGACTTAAGCAGGGTGACCACTACCCTCAACTCGGCCCTCGGCATAAAATAATCAAACTACGCAGGGTGCAGATTGAGCATCAGCAGGCTGTGCAGAAGCAGCTCGATGCATTGGGGAAAAAGATAGCGAACGTAGAATTTACAAGCATGGGGGGAAGGTGAGAGCCGGGCATGGTGGAGATGGAACTGGTGATGGGGAATGATGGGGGCAGGATGTGTGATGGTAGGCCGTACAAAGATCTGGTGAAGTTAAAGCTACCCGACGCCAAAC